GGTGCACGATCTAATGCTGTAGCACTGAGATGATAAAAGCACACCCTGAAGCAATGAATAATTGAAGTCCAGCCCTAAATATTAATAAGATACAAGGGGAAGAGGACACTTTCCTCAACTTTGTACTTACCGAGCTGCCTGTTTGGATTTGAGCAGAGATACTCTCACAGTCACTCCAAGCTCCTTAAACCCCCTCCTAGACAACTGTAGTGCTCCAAACTAATGCTACCCTCATCTGAAATTTCCAGCTCATTTTGTATTCAAACCTCAAGAGGAACATGGTGGTGTTTATCGGAAGATGTACTCCAAATGCAAATGGGAACAAAGGACGCTTACCGAGTCCCATGTCACCCCAGAGGGCAGAGCAGCATCTGTGTGGGAAAAAGGATGCCCAGAGGGATGGGGTGCAGTGAGCAGGAGCTGGCTCCAGCTCCGGAGATGCTCAATCAGAGCTGCTCAACACGATGCTGGGGGCGGATATCAAAGGCTCATGGTAGACCCTCTTCAGCTGATTAATGCACTTTTTTGGAAGATGTTTACAACACACCAGACCCAAACTGGTTTTTAAGTGGGATGAGTCCAACGCAGCTCACTGCGTGGCAGTCGCAGGGATCAGGTTCTGTGTTCACCCAGTTGCCAGCCCATGCAGACTGCCCCAGAGAATGCTGCAAGGAAGGGCTCGCAGCTGAGCACGCACACAGGAGGTCACCCACCTTCAGGTTCCATGGGCAAAAGGCTCCCGTGATGCCAGGAGTCAGAGCAAGCCACTGGCAGGTGCATAAAAAAGAGGCAGGTTTGGATTCTTTTTCAAATGTCATCTGAGTGTGGAGGCCGCTCTGCAGGCAGTGTGCCACAGGAGCGGGGCAGCATGAGAGCTAGTGATGGGCAGCCCTGAGGAACCAAACACCCCTGTAGCCCTCTGGCCACCAAAATGTAAGCAATTTAAAAGAAAAAAAAAAGGCGGGGGAGGGAGCATTCTCTCTATCTGTTAGTATGATTTAGGCTACTCTGCCAGCTTCCTGTGTGTTTGTGGTGAGGACTGCTGTCAGCGTTACACACATTAACATTCACCCTTGGATCAAGCCCTGGGCTGTGAGTGGGGAGATGCAGGGTCCTGTCTTCATCAGGCTAATGGCTTGTTCAGGCCTCCATTTTCACATTTTTCTGATGTAAATTTCTAAACCTTGCTACTGCCTCTCCTCCCTGCTGCTTGCAGCCTTTGCCTGCGCAGCCAGCACCTGGGAGAGGAGGCCACGGGCTGGCTTGTCCATCAGCAGGGTTGTTCAACACGAATCGCCTTCGGACTCTTCTACCAGTATCCCTGTCCCCCTGGCCAAGCCCAACGCAAAGGGCTGGGGCTGGAAAGTTGTTACTCTCCTGCCCAAAGTGCAGAGAGAGTACCTGCAGAGGCCTCGCTGCTTCAGCTGGCTGAAGTAAGCTGTCCTTCCACTTCTTCTGGCCAGGCTCCTGAGCTCCCTCCCTCTGTAGCCTTCCTCCCCTCTAAGAGACACCATGTGATGTTTGGACAAAAGGAGACTGATGGCTCCTGTTCTCCTTGAGCCCTTCTTCACCAGGCAGTGAGGGTTTTCTCTATCCTTTCTGCTCAGTCTCTTAAGGAATGTGATGGTTAAAGCCCTTAAAATTTTGCTAATAAGTCTTCTCATGAGTTCCTCCTGGAGCAAGAAGCAAGGGCGTGGGTGCAGTGATGGCGCAAGGTCACTTATTCAGGCTGGTCAGAGGCAGGAGGTGCAACCAGTCCTCAGGAGCACATTAGGGAGGGTAAACAACCAGCAGGAAGGAGCAACTTGAGCAAATACCACTAGAACAGCCTTAAGTACCTTCTGGCTATAAATCAGGTTCCTAGCCATCAGAGCAGCCAGGCCCTCTGACCACCTCACACAAGGTGCATTGGGAGGGGGATCCCTCACCCTTGCAGCTCACTCTGGAGCTGGGCAAGCTCCTGAAACTCAGCACGTCCCTCCCAAGTGCACCCAGAGAGCCCATGCGGGCTGTCCTGGCTGTATGTGCCAAACCAAGGCACCCCGCTGTCAGCCTGGAGCTGCCCTGCAGCTCCCAATCTCCTCCTCACGCAGGGACACGGAGAAACTGTAAGAAACAGGATGGGTTTTATGTGGTCAGACTGCATCACGGTTCCATTTCTTTTCCATGCTGATCTTCATCAGACAGGCATCGCTCCACTGCCTCGCGGAAGCAAACATGTCCGTGGGCATCCGGCACATCCCAAATTTAGAACAATTTTTAACAAGCTGGAAGGAGCAAAATAAACAGCACTTGATCTGCAAGCTTCCCGTTCTTGACAGCATCCCCAGAGGTGGTGGAAAAGCGAGGAGATAGCTCCTTGCTTTAATTGGTACATTAAAATTCTTCCAGGCCGCTACACAACTGTTAATAGGCAACTTAATTAAGCACTAACCCAGTTCATATTTATACCCTCCAGAGGCTCTTGTTTCATTTTTTTTTTCTTATTACATCCAAAGCCATGGGGAGTTTTGTCCTAATCATGTAAAACAAGCTGAGGGCAGTGACATGAAGCAACTTATTTAACTCCTGATCTCCAGACACCTCTGACAAATGCACAGGCCTGCAGCTTCTTCCCCAAAAAGAGGGCTCTGGGAATGAGGTGTGAATTGCTACAAGGCAGTGAAAATAAATGAAAACAAACCTGAGCAGCAGCAGCCAACTCACCCCCACCGAGTGCAAAAAGGAGATGATGTTGGGCAAAGGCAAGTCCTCTCCAGGCACCAGGTGCCAGAACACAGGGGTGTCTTTGGCAATCATGAGGAGCCTCTAATATCTGTCATGGAAATTGATGGGTTTAATAGCCAAGCGGACAACAGTGTGGAAAGCAAATTGCTTTCATTGTTGTGTCCCCTCTCCCCACTGATGTGCCTAAGCCAACCACAGTAGCTTCGGGTCAAGAGGACAAAAGCTTACCTGGCTCTTGTGATTCACTGTTTGGCAGAAATCTCCCTCTTTTGCCTTCCCATGGGAAACACTTGCCTTTGAGTTTGAGGAGAGACCTATGCAGGCTGAGGCTTTGCCAGGACATCCAGGGCACTGCTCTTGAGAACATCTGTGGTCAGCAGTGCAGTGCCCTGTGGGTCTACGCTGAGTGGTAGAATCATCTGCTTGAACTTCCAACACCTCCCTGGAGAGCATCTGCCTTCCAGCCCCAGAGGTCTCCCACCCGGCCAGGGCAGGCTGCAGTGCAGGGCTGACAACTCCCCAGTCATTCAGCTTCACTGGTTTCACTGGGAAAGTCTGGATTTGTCACAGCACGACCTGTTCAGAGATCCCTTGCCTGTCCTTTGATTCTGTGCACGGTCAGTACCTACAGAGGCAACGGGCACCTTTGGAGGGAACGCTTTCCCCAGTGGGTTTCGGCTGACAGCACGTACTCAGGGAGATGCTGCAGACTGGTTGATGGGTGAGCTGGGTTCCCCAGAGACACAGCCAAGGTGAAAGCTAACGCTTCCAGCTAATAGTGCCCGTGGTGGTGGGAAATCGCTCGGATATTTAAATACATATACCAATCTGCGGAGGCCAGGGTGTGAAAACAACCTTTCAAAGAGGTTAATTGCACTTTTATCACGTTGTTGGACAAGAGTTAGGGGCCCAGGAAACTTTGTTTTTCTTCATTTTGTGTTTAGCTACATGAGGCTGCTTCCAATTTCCACAATTCTTGAGGGAAATACTAATTTCATGCCCTTTAAAGAGAGATTAAAATTTCCCTCTCAGAATTTCTTGGGGAGAGAGGCAAAGAGATTTATGTATGCAAGCATGTCCATTTGCACAGAACATTTCTCTAAAATATCAGGAGTTGGAGTTGCTGTTAACCCAATTGCTCTTTTCAGATCCAATACTGAACTTGAGTTCAATCAAAACACTTCCAGTGTAAATGTTAAGAATGACTGTTTCTTTTAGTAAATATATTCTTACTTCATCGTGCAACATTATGTACAACGCTTTGATGCACCCGCACACAGTGATTTTTAGAAGATCACAGAGAACTCCTGCTGGGAAGTTCTCCTGCCTGTGCTGAACTTGCAGTAGCTCACTTAACCACTAGATGCCTTCGTGCTCTGCCTGGAGACTCAGAGCACAGCTCCTGGAGGCCAAGGCAGAAGCCTGCTTTTCTCCAGTGTATGCATTTTTAATCTTTTTTTTTAACTTAATAATTGCTTTGTGTCCAGGAAGAGCTCTAATTCCATAATATCATCCACGCACCCTGCACTGCCAAGGGTTGTACAAGTACACGGTAAGTCATAACGACAGACAGACGTGCTGGCCTGGGTGCTCTGCACGCATCAACCTCTGCTGTGTGTCACCACATCCCTTCCACCATGTGACACAAAGCAGAGGCAGAAGTGACTGCTCCTGTCAGGCCCCTCTACAGTATCTGCCCAGTGCCTAGCACAGGGCAGCCCTACGATTACTTCTGCACTGTCTCAGCTGGAGGCACACATAAAGGTGGAATTAGCTGGTTCTTGCCCTTCTCCATGCTGTCAAACCAAGCGCAGCACTGACTGCAACAGAAGGCAGACGGAGCAAACAGCGGGTTGGAATCTTTTATTCAGTTATCAGTCCTGCTGTGTGGGCAGCATCTTAGCAACTGGAACCCAAGTATGCAAAAATACTGAGTTTTCACAGTGAAAAACCAGACAGTATAAAATATTCCAGTATTGCCTCTTAGAACCATTATTTCAATAAGACTCCTGTTACAAAGGCAATATATTTCATTTGTTTGCTTTCTGTTCTCAAACCCTCCCCTGCAAAAACAATATTTGATCAGACAGTAACCGACCTTACCCCCACAACACCCGCACATTGCGGGGAGAAAAACACTACAGGAAATACCTTCCTGATGTCCAAAGATTTATTGAAGAACATTCTCCTGGTGGTGTCAAGGCCCAAGAAGACATAGATTATGGTGACACCGAGCGGTCCTGACATTCTACACACCTCAGACAACTGTGGTGCTACTGAATTCTGATGAGAGGCTCCGTCTCCCGGATGAGCCACTGAAGAGCTTCGTGCCGGCCTTGCCTCTCCAGTTCTGTTCCTATTACTTCCCTGCACTTCTGATGGTAGTCGTTCACCCAGTTACACTAGAGAAAGGGAGGGGGTACGACATTCAGCATAAATGCAACAGAGTTGGTGCCTTTATAAGTATAGCCAAAGATACTGGTAGCCCTTGCGCTCCTCAGGGTTGAGCTGTTAGGCTGAGACGGGATCAGATCCTGCCCCAAAGAGCCAGACCTCTATTATATGGCAGTGACTTGTAAAGCTGGTGAGGGGAGAAACCTGAGCAATTCATCCCGGGTTTTCAGAGGTTCAGTTCATACAATCATAGAATTGTAAAGGTTGGAAAAGACCTCTAAGATCATCAAGTCCAACTATCAACCCAATACCACCACTATGACTACTAAACTATATCCTGAAGTGCCATGTCTACACGTTTTTTTGAATGCCTCCAGGGATGGTGACTCCACCACTTCCCTGAGCACTCTGCTTCAATGCCTCACTACTCTTTCAGTAAAGAAATTTTTCCTGATATCCAGTCTAAGCTGACAAGTATTTAAAGTCTCTGCAAATCACTGCCTCCAGCAAGTCTGATTTGCGACCTTGGTACAGTCTAGTAAATAGCTTTGCAAATTTGCAACCGAACAACAAAGTCCTGAGACATAAGTTGCCCTGATCTGAATAGGTAACCTTACGGCAGATCTCGATAGTCTTCACAGCCCTCTTCAGAAAAAGAAAATGCAAATGGAATGATATTTTCAAAAAAGGAGGATGGATTGAGGCAAAATAAAGAGTATAGTAGAAAACCGGGATGATACACATTATAGAGAAGGTAGTGAGAGAGCTACATGGAAGTTTAGAGTATGAAGCTCTTCAGGAAATAAATGCTGCTAAGCAGGTATCCTTGATGTCTGCTCAGAGCCCACATGTACTGCAGAATGTGTTGTGGCTGAATGGGATTGGTCATGAGTAGATAACAGACAACATGGAACACTCATCAGTGTAAATCTCTGGAGAGATAGCATGATAGTCTGACAGAAATAAATTAAGGCAGGAGCAGGAAAAAAAGAAGAGATGAGTGGTAATTATCATATCAAAGGAACTACCAAAATGATGTCATCAGAGGGGTCCTTGCTGGCTTCATCATAGAATAATTTAGATTGGAAGAACCTCTGGAGAGCTCATCTAGCCCACTCAAAGGTGGATCAAGTTTAAAATTAAGTTTGCTCAGTATTGCTTTCTGGATCTATGAAATGCAACAAGAGGCCAGTGGTTCTTGTAAGCAGAACAGGCTGGTTCTAGACCAAAGAAGGTAATGCAAATCTATTGTTTCACTTACCTCTTTTTGTGTCAGCAAATTAACATCAATCATTTTTGTCTGGATTGGAACCAGGGTTAAGGGTTCAAAAGTCAGGCTCCCTCTGTTTTTGAAATTGTACTGCAGCGGGAAGACAAACAGGGTTGTAAATGTTTAGAAACAGCTCTAGTCAGATCACACTTACTCCTTGGTTCATTTCACAAGTACAGAACGACCCATACAACATTCAGATGAGAGAGCAGCAACTTACAATAACATTTTTCTTACAGCTCAGGCAAAGAATCTCAATATACACCTTAGTTATTTCTTTCAATTTAAAGGCTGTGTCCCAGGTCGCAATTGGACTCAGCTTGATGACTATATGGTCATTTTCAGTTTGGCCTTTCTAAAAGCATAATTCAGGCAGACTGGCAATTATAATGTCAAAATCTGTCTGTAGTTTTGTTTCCATTGCAAGTGAAGACTATCAGGGAGGAAAATCCCAACTCGAGAAAACCAACTAACTCTACAGCAATAACTCCAAGGGGATGAATAAAGATGCTTCTGGTCTTAGACATCCAGACAGAAAACATTTTAAAACAACTCTCATTTACACATTTCAACCTATGGAAAGTGCAAAAGCAGAACTGTCTTCTGTGCCCCCATTAACAAGGGAAACTTAAAATAGGTCTTCAACAAAGCAGGGTTTTGGAGACCAGGAGTCTCAAGTAAAATTAAACTGTCTGCAGCATGGTCCCACCTCAAGTTCCAGTACTTTAAGTTTCATAACCAGTGAGTTATGGAGAAAGGGGTATCTTGAGCAGATCATTCACCTTGGTTTCAGCAGGGATCACAAGGACAACATTTTCTATTCGGATCCCAAAGGACCCATCTTCATAATATCCAGGCTCTGCAGAAACAGACAGTAATTAGCTAAGCCATACAGCTGCACTGTGCAAATACTTACTCCCTACGGCCAAACTTCCCCTCCATGGCTTTAGTCCACTGAAGTCACTAAGCAATCTTGACACCACGCATCCACAGAGGCAAACAAATTTCTGACTCTACTTAATCTGCACAGAAGCCCCGAGCAAGGTGACAGCAAAAGTTCTCAAAGAGAGGAGAAACAAGACAGACAGCCCTCGAGCTCAGAGAGTCTCCCTGCAAGTCAAGAGAGAGCACAGAGTACATGTGTTCCAAATACCAGAAACTCTGAAAATATTCAAGTCTTTATGAAATGTAGGTGGTTAATCCCTTTCCCAAAACACTTGTTTTAAAGACTGATCCCCTGACTCTATGAGAGGCCTTTGAAGCCTCGAAGGAATATAGGTCTCTCAGCAAACCCCAGCACTGTTAATTTACTACTAGAAGAATAAGGCAGGTAAAGTTTTAACAGCTGCCTCAAATAGCCCATAGCAAAGACAGGCTTAGCTCCCAAAAGCTTGGTGTCTGCCTTGTATTTCAGCCAGTCTCCCACTGCAGAATGGGAGACAGCACAGCAGGGCCAAGCTGGGCAGCAGCACAGCTCTGCTGAGGTTTGTGCCGTGGAGAGTGGGCAGCAGGCCTGCAGCACCTGCCTGCAAAGATGCTCCAGGAAAGGCGAAAGCTGAAATGAGGGTCTTCACCTACAGAGCTTAAATGACAATTAAAATAACCAAGGCAGCAGGACCAGAGGTTATGATCCCCTCTTTTGTTTACACCATTGTCAGATTCGTTTCTTCTGCATCATAAAGAGCTTGGTACCTTCCCCTGTAACCAGAGAGAACTACCAATGCTAAGTACCATCTGAGACGATCATGCCAGCTTCCAAGGGCTCATCTGCAAAGGTTTTGTAGCTAATGCCGCAAGGACCCTCATGTACATTTAAGAAAGAGCCAACTCCATGTCCTGTCCCATGCAGGTAATCCAAACCGCAGTCCCACAAGGCAGAGCGGGCAAAGGAATCTAGAAGGTGGCCTGCAGGCCATGGGGAAGAGAAAGACATGGAGAGAGAATCTGATTAAGTCAGGCTCCCTCAGAGACATTGATAATCACACTGAAGGCTCAAATCTGTAAAACATGAGAAAAACCCACAAACAAAACAAAAAACACACCACCAACCAAAGCAAGTCATTGCACTGTTGGAAGTCACAGGGCAGGTGCGGCAAGTCTGACGTTCAAGCCCTTTCAAAAGTCTCTTTCTCTGTCCCTTCCCTGTTACACAGCTCTTCAGAAAACGGTCTGTAACAGGAATACTGCATTGCTGCTTGCTCCACTGGGGTTTTCAGGAAAGAATCTAGTGGTTAAATGTCCCACAGAGAATTCGGTACCTTTCTTAGAGGCAGCAGCATTAAATGAACTCAAAGGAGACAGCACGCCAATTGTATTTGGTGAACTAATCAGCCAGGCTTCTTGCCTGGACAGCCAGCCATTTCAGATTGTTTCAACCTGAATGCAAAGAATTTCTGTTGCCTGCATGTGAATGCCAAGCCCATATGTCAAATTTCAGACACCCTCCAACCTCAGCTGGAGTTTCTTGTACCACTAAGCAGCTGATTTTTCCTCACCTAGCCAGGAATGCACATCAGATAATACTCTAAAAAAAGGCATCTTTGTGTAAGGTGTCTGATAAGGAAGAAAATAGCTCTGCAACAAATCCACCAGGGGTGAACGTATGTCACAGCTTCTCCTATACAAAATCAAAACAGCTTCTTTGTTTCTCATTTTCCTGTGCTGCTTACTGGGAAAAGAGATTCCATATTAACCGGAAGAGTCCTTTTGAAGATGCAAAGTGACCTCTCACCTTTACAGGGGCATGAGTACAGCATAAAGAAAACCTCCAAGCACAGAAAGGTCACAGATGTATTAACAGTGGTGAAGGTCACTATCACCTTAGAATGAGAGCACTTTGAACAGCCTTCAGACTGGTCGCCTCAGAATTGTCAGCACTGGTTGATGCCAAGAGAGTTGGCATCAGTTATCTAGAATCCAAAATGCTGTGATGGAAACAGACACAAACAGTTACATCCACGTCTGGATGTATCTGGACCTGTAAACCTTACTGTTGCTCTCAGACCACCTAACGGCTCTTCAGAGGTCACTGCTGTGGTCAAAACAGTGCAACACACCAACCTACCTTTGGTTCCATTTGGGAAGATGGCTGCACTCACAGCTATATGTCCCTTCAAGACATAGGTGAAGCATTCCTGCCAAAGAAATGCGTGCTGTAAGTAAACAGGGAGAGGCAAAACTCTGTCTTCCCCAGGAATATCAAGGCAGACAGCATCTTGCAGCAGACTGCAGAAGATCTGGAAAGACTGGCTCATGCTCTCCTATGGCTGGTGATGCCAAAGCAAACCATGAGCAGAAAGTTTAAATTACTCTGACTATCTTTCTCTGGTAATTATGGAGAGTGTGTCACAAACTCAGACTGCAGGTTTTAGCAGCAGGATTCACCTGACCTACATGACTGACTGTGGCTGTAGCTTCACTTCCTGAGCACACCCTACAGTATATTTTCTTCACCAAGTGAACTATAATGATGAAATTAGTTTTAATTAAAGAAGCACTTTAAAATTAGCAGAATGATATTGCCGAATTTCCAGCTCAGACCTCCTAAGAGAAGTCTAAGACTGTTTTTTTAATATGGTACACTAGACACACACTATTACTGCAGCCTTGCATTACACATGGAGCTTTGCATTAACTAACCCCACCTATCTTCCACCTTGGACAAGTCAGTAACATTTACCCTCAGCCCGCTGATTTTATTATCTCTTAGAGGAGACATATCACTTTACAAATGAGGGTGTGCATTTCAAGACAGAAAGGTGTAATTCTCTAAATCATGCAGTTTATATTTTCGAAGTGCAAGTCTGACAGCCTTCTTTTCAGTCTTCATTAAAAATTAAATAAATGATATTTGATAGAGCATTTTGACTATATAGCAATAGGACACATTACTAATTTGTTTAAGTATCTCTAATAACAAGAGTCAGATTACAAACCACACCAAGATGCTAACTTACCTTTTCATAAGCTGATGGTGTGCCAAAATGCACTGTCCTGGTCACATCTGTTGTACCATCTCTTCAGAGACAAAGAAAGGGGTAGGAAGCAAAGGGGCATGGGAAGAAGAAAGATCAAAGTGAGAATGCACAGAAAACCCAGTCACACTGCAGCAAACCACTCAAAATCATAATTGGGTAAATGCACACAAGACTGATGATGTAAGAGATCCTAATCTCAAAAACTCCTGAACACGCATGTTCCACATGTAATAACGATTTACAATTCAAAATGGTATCATGCATTTACAATTCAATGTTATCTTTCCTTCATAAGCATCCCAAAGCTCCTCACAAATTACAATCTAAACTGCTCATAAAAATGTTGCTAATCTGAGGTTTAGCAACTGGTACCTGCCCACTGAGAACAGAACAGAGAAGGCCAAAATTAGCCTATTTGTATGGAAGATGAATCATTAGCAGCTTAAAAATATATCCTTGCACATAAATTACATCTACCAGCTCAGGAAAGGGAAGTGTGAAGGGATATAGTGTCCCTTTCATCCTCAGGATGCCTTGTGCTAAGATTTCTAGAAGTTATCCCGCATTTGGGTAGAGCTTAGTCTGAGGCATCAGAAGTTGCCTCTTAAGTTCCTTCTACAAATATCATTTTGAGGCTGCTGTCCAAAACACAGAGGCTCTTGAAATAATGAGTTCCCCTTGAAACATTCACTCCTGTAGCTACGCTTTTCCATAGCACACACACCCCACAGTCACAAAGAGCTTGTGGTTTAACTTCTCAGCAGGGACAAGGGGGACATCCCTCCTGTCACAATGCCATGGTAAGTGCCATTGATGTCCAGCTTACATTGTATTCAAAGGGCTGCTTTTCATAGTGGCACTAAGGAAATCGTTAATTAGGCCAACAGAGGGGAGGAAGAAAAGATCTCCTTGTAAAAATCTTATCAAAGGATATCTGTATGGCTCTTTTTCAAAGCTCTTCCTGACAGACAGAACAAAAAGACACAGCTTTAAAGACAAAGTTAATCTCAATGGAGCAGCCAGGCCTGTCCTGCATCTTTCTGAACGAGCCACTTCTCATCTATTTACACTGGTTAAAAACATCCCTTCTTTCATCTTCCATGGAGTCAATGATCCACAGTAAAGAACTACAGAGAACTGAGGCCACTGAATGGCACCGTCAAAACAGCACCGAGCAAGTCAGCGGACATGACGTCTTCCCAGAAACACACCTCAGACCCAAAAGGCCACTGGGATGAGAAACTCTGCCTCCGAGTCTCTCTGGGAACACCAGAGAATACCACATGTCCATGCTGTCCTGCTGCTTTGCCCAATCTTGTTCTGACCTCAACATCAGTCAAACCTGCCCACAGGGCAGTCCCTGGCAGGGCAAGTGCTTTGCTCAGCTGTGCAGGCTGCTGTGGAGGCAGCTCAAGGCTAAACCAGGGCAGTCCGGCCTGCTCCCCGTTCTCTGCAGCTCTGACACCAGTGTGCCAGGCAAGCAGAGCTGCAACACACAGAAACATGCACCACCAGCTGAAGCACAGCTACCAGCACACAGTAATGGGACTCAGATGGGAACCGTACTTTGAGGTCTCATCCTCCAGCCCAGACAAGGCTTATCAGCAGCCCTGCCCTGAGCCCAGCACACTCAGGACCTCCTGACACAGATCAGTCACCCATTGACTGAAGCACTCAGCCACATTCCACACTCCAAATCTCACAAACTCCCTTCAGAGAGCACAAAACGAGCAGGCTCTCTGTGAAAAGGCACCGGGGCTCAGAACTACACATTGCCATGCTTGCCACAGCAACCATGAGCTGGCCCTGCAGGTGGTCACTGGGAGCAGAAAACACAGCAGTTCAGCACCATTGGTCCCACTCACTTGTACTGTGCTCCTGAGTCCAGGAGGTAGATCTCGTTCACAGACAGTGTTCTGTTGGTCTCAGGAACTGGCCTGCTCAGTTAAACACAAAAGTTTTTATCCCACAGTTTTAAAGTCTCCAGCCCAGGTCTGCAGTCCCAAAACCATATTAAATGCAAGCTTGGATGTGTTGGCTGATTTCTTGTGGCAGTGATGGAAATCTCACACATGGTGAGCCAGGGATCATACTGAGGAGTATATTTGTCTGTAGTAAATAGCACTACAGTACAGAGAATAGCTTTGTTGCTTCCAGCAAAACCCTCAACATCTGTTCCTGGACATATTTCAGAACAGTTTGCACTTCATACTCATCCTTCCCAGACTTCTACCCCCAAAACAGCCTTTTTCTACGGCTGCTGAGCAGATCAGGATCATAATACATGCTGCCAGCAGGGAGAGATCTTTATTTAGTAAGTGCAGAAGCTCTGGTGGAATAAAGCAAGATGGCAATCAGCAGTGTCTACATCTCCCTGCAGTACTCTGTTGCAGCTCCACAAAGATGCTAGACAGCTCATTCCAACTATGTTTGCTGAAGGATAAAAGGAGAAGCTGTGTTTGTCTTACTTGTAGTGAATGATGGCTCCGTTTGGACCCGTACTTGATATGGTAGCAAAACTCAATTCAACAAAGTCCTTCTGTTGGCTGAAAGAAAAGTTCATGATCAGTACAGAGCAAGTGAGAGGAGTCCAACAGGCACTTGGAGCACATCACCCTCAATGTGACATCACCTCAGCCTTCCCCTTAGCCTTGAAAGCCACTCGGGCAAGCACACTTAGGTAGAAGAATTGTACATATTGAAGTCCTATCCTCCCAATCACATGGAAGTCTGCTTTTCATCTCTACCTTTTCCTTACAAGCAGACCACCCATGGAGGAGATGTCCTGAACAACTTCTTCATTACTTATTTACTCAAAGGCATTTTTAAAGGTCCTGTTGATGTACACACTGGAGTATCTCTCAGCAGAAACGGTGCTCATTCCCCATGAGAAGAGGAGGCAGTCTAACTTTTACATCAACTCTTTTGTGGTAAGAAAGCAACTGTCTCATATTTGTGTCCTAACCCGCAGCACTCCTCATTGCTATCTCAAAAGGAAATTGGACAGGATCCGGTGGGCTGGGACTTGTATCTCCCAAGAGATCCAATTCTTCCCCAACTCTTTCAAGCATTCAAAGAAAACCTGTAGCAATGGCTTATTATTTACTCTTATTTACAACTTCTTCATTACTTATTTACTCAAAGGATCTCCCAAGAGATCCAATTCTTCCCCAACTCTTTCAAGCATTCAAAGAAAACCTGTAGCAATGGCTTATCCTCAGGTAAAATATATCTGCAAGTAAGCTTGATTTCTAAATAATGAAACAAAAACAAAAGATAAAAATGCCACCCAGAAAACATCCTCACAAGGGATTTGCTTTTTACCTGCGAAACTCCTCTGCTTTGTCTGCAGCAATTATTTCTGTCACTGTTCCCTTTGGAACCTAGTGGACAAAGAGGTAGGTTGAATCAGTACACCAGCAAGCAATGAAACTACATGCTCAAGCACTGGGTCTCATCTGTGCATTACAAAACCTAGTCTTGAAGTAGTCTCTTTCCAGGTTTTCTAGCCTCATTTCTCAGTAATGACAAACACAAACCTAGCAATATTGTGCAGGGCTGGTGAGAAGCAGGAAGCAGAGACGGTCACAGCAGGATTACTGAATCCTGACTAGGAAGCAGATAGTGCAGGACTAACTTCACCGAGTTGTGTACAGAGGTAACATCTCACAGGCAGGTTACAGTAAGCTTAAACAGCTCTCCCCAGCTGTCCCTGGTATTAGCAGAGCTGTTTTGCTTTTAAGCTAGAAATGGAAGCAGTTGCGGGAAAAAGATGTTGAATTTTACTTTAGCCATTCAATAAATTAAAACCTGTGACACAACTTTTCCAGGGCTGGACAACAGGCAAAGGAGAGTGAAAGCTAGATTTCACAGCCCCTGAGGCAGACTTCTTGAGGTACTCAGACATGTAAAAAGGCACCTTCTGGAAGGCATCAAGCCATCTCCATAGGTAAACTCAATGGACTCACACATGCAGTAGCACAGAAGAAGCACAGCTTAGTAAGTTGCTGTGTAACGTCTGGCACTCTGCATCTTCACTGTGTACTTCCAACCCAGAAAAAACCACACAAGTAATTTGTCTTTTTCCCATTTTCAGTGCAGATGGGCATGACCACATCCTCTTGATTCATAAATACCAACCTGTCCATACTGCCAGACAATAGTGATTATCACAAGAATAATTCTAAAGTATTACACCAAACTAGATATTACTCCATGACAGATACTACCAAACCAGCACAAGGCAGTATTAACGCGATATTAAAGCCTGTTTGGGTCATTTCTCACCTGCTCTGGCTTTGGTCTGTGTAAAATGAATGGGTCCATGTTTACAAAAACCTAAATCATGGATGAAAGCATGACTGAACATCACCTAAAACCAACAGATAAACCCCAAAACGTTTCCCCACTTTTAGCAAAGGCCCTATAACAGGATGAAAAGTTTATGCTAATGAAGAATTTTACACTGCAATAAAACACCCAAGTTAAAAAATTAATACACTACCTCTTTCTCCAGCCAGTTAAAGAGCTCACACAGGGCAACAGCATCTTTAATCTACATTAAAATAGGCACAAAAAAAGGGAATTGATAAGAAAAAAGATTTATCAAGCCTCAGTATAAACAGTTTTTAATGCAAATGAGTTTGACCTGCAAGTTTTAGAAACGCAAATCAAGACATGATGTAAGAGGCCTTTCCAGGTTCTGCATCCTGTAATTAATACAGGCACTGGAAATGTATCTGGACAATTAAATAAACACTAATAACAGTTCATTGCTGGGAAGTATCTTCCTGCAAAGAATTACGAAGTACTCAGCAAACACTGGCTTTACCCCACACATGACTTTCAAGTCTCTTTTGCGCCAACACACACGATCTTGCATTTCAGATCATGGAAGGTAAACACATGGCACATCTGGTGATGTGACAGGGAAACACGCCCTTCGGGCACACGGGCACCACAAAGCAGACTCTCACAGCTTCTGGCTTCTCTCTTACCCTCATTTTTCTTCCTTTTTTTCTACATGCTTGCAGCACACAGGGGCAAGAAGCAGGAGACAAGTGTAAAAGAGCAAGGCATAATTTTGTCCTCAGGTGGCAGGTGACAAAGTGTTTCTGCTCAGCACAAGTATTTTTACTTCTCTTTAACTAGCAGGGAAAGAAAAGCATGGAAATAGAAAGCAGCAGTTCCCAAGAAGCTAGCAGAAAATATGGGACGAGTCCAGAACTGCCAGCCGTGCTTTAACTGCCATATTTCTCCTGTCATGAAAACTGCTGCTTGCTAATTAATAGGAAATAAACAAGAGAAAACTTCAGCCCCACTGTGAAACTGTTCAAGGAAGCTTCTTTGCTGGAAAATATGAGGCTTCCTGGGAAATCAGCCTCATTTCCAGAGTGTAATGATGATGACACATAAACAGAGTGTTCTGAGGACACTGGCTGTTTCTGAACATGTTTTACACCATGTGTTGAAGAATTTCTCTGTGTTCTTTAGGCTGTGTTTATTCAAGTGTCAACAATTTGAAAGACTTCACTGAGAAAGATAACAGAACTAGCAAAGGGGAAAGAACACCCCTTTGAGTGCCCATACTCTAAAGAACACTTCTCAAGTCTGCGTGGTCCTCCAACAGAGCAAGGTTGGTTCCTCACGCTATTACAAATGTTGTTGTTCACTCTAAGGGAATGCTAAACAAGCAAGAAATTTGCTTCAACAGCAGCAGATGTCTGCCAGAAAACCATTTTTATCCTGCCATCCAAATTCTTAATTTTTAAGCCAAAACATTGAAACTGAAAGGGAAATGTTATTTCTT